CACTGTTCCAGGTGGAGGCAAGTCTTTTTAAAGGCTCAAACCACAGGAATTTTCCTTTGCTCTAAATTCTAAAGGCTAGGAACATTGGAATGTGGCCCTATCTTGCCAATAATACAGAAGCAGAACTCAGAGGTTAATCTCTAAAGGTTATCTATAGTTTCTACCCCTGAAGCTACTGAGTCCTGGGAATCGATCTCCTGTAACTACCCTATTGTTTAAGCTAGTAAGCGAAGGTCAAAGTCAGAATAGTGGGGTTAAAATTCAAACAGCAGTTTTTACCAAAGTATGGTTGCTACCATATTTCAATTAACTGTATTTCAAAGTAAATATTTATTTTAATAATTAAGCATATTTCCTCAATTAAAATAAGTAAATAAAAATAAAATGCTATGTAATTAAAATATTTAGGATTCAGTTCAAATGTCAAACATAAGATAGAAAAAGAACTCTTTAACATAATGCCATATCCAATCACCAAGAGACCAAAAATTAAGTTTTCTAAACCACTCAGTTAAGCTTCCTTGACAATTGGGTTTCCATGTAAAAGCCATTTTTATAAAGCCCCAATATGTACAAGCTTGCATGGCACTACTTTAACAGAGTAAATAGCTCAGACTCTCTGACTCTAAGCCTGCCTTGTTCCCATGGCCTTCAGGCTTCGGCTTAGTCTTGCATATAGATATGCTAATCACTTGAGAAATTCTATAAAAAGAAGTCCTTCCATTTGCCCTTCCCTTGACATAAAAGCCTAAACTCTGTGCTTCGGGAAGATGGATTTAAGGATTAGGTCTCCTATCTTCTCAGTTGGCAACCTTTTCATAAAACATCTTTCCTTACTCTAAATCTGACTTTTTGAGTCTTCGCCTTTCCAAGCATTGGACCATTAACATTATCAAGCATGTATTTGATTGCCATAACATCATACCTTTGGGAAAAACATGTTTTTATTCTTTTTCAATTCCCGAAAAAAAAAAAAAAAGTTATTTTAATTTATTAGTCTCATCTTCCAGATGTTCTTCTTAAGTTTTCTAATGTATGCCTTACACTTAATAGATTAATTTCCGCAAATTCAGCGTGAACCATTTCTCTAGTTATTTTAATAGCTCCTTATGTTCACCTCAAATAATATCTTTTTCTATTGTCATTGAAGGGGAGCTGAGTTTGCCACCCAAAACAGCCTCTTTGGGGATATTATTTTAGGCTGGTTACTTTTAAAAAACAACAGATCCCTAGGGGAGAGCTCTGAAAACCAAATAGAGGTTACCCTTTGTAAGAGCACATTTGCATTTGTAAGGGAAATCTTCATCTGTAAAGGTCTTCCCTCAAGGTGAGGCCTGCCTTCCTTGGTCTGCATTGCTCAATGGTTAGAGAATCAGCTTCTTCACCAAAGGGTTTCAGGTTCAACTGCCAGTCAAGGGCAGGTACCTGGGTTGGAGGTTTGATCCCATCTGGGTGTGTGCAGGAGGAAACCAATCAATGTTTCTCACATTGATGTTTCTCTTTCTCTCTCTCTTTTTTTTTTTTTCTTTTTCTCTCTCTCTCTCTGTCTCCCTTCCTCCCTTCCATTCTCTCTAAAACCCAATGGAGCCTTAGTTGGTTTGGCTCAGTGGATAGAGTGTCGGCCAGGAAAATGAAAGGTTCCTAGTTGCATTCCAGTCCAGGGCATATGCCGGGGTTGTAGGCTTTATCCCCAATAAGGGGCGTGCAGGAGGCAGCCAATCAGTGATTCTTTCTCATCATTGATATTTCTATCTCTTCCTCTCCCTTCCTCTCTGAAATCAATAAATACAGATTTTAAAAAATAATAAAATATAATTAAAACAAATGGAAAAATATCCTCGGGAGAGAGTTAACAACAACAAAAAAAGAAGCCTGCCTTCACTATCAATGCAGAAGGCACAGACTTATGTAAGCATAACAATGTTACCATTGTTTACTGTGCTTTTTCCTAGCTGAAGGTGATATTTAAAGTGATGATATCTGCTGTTTGGGCTAGTTACGCAGTTTGCCTGAGTCTCTCCCATGTATATAGGAGGTGTCTATGTCATTAAACTTTAATTCATTTTTCTCCTATAATTCTGTCTCATGTCATCTATTGGCTGCCTTCTGAATAGTCTCCCACCCCTGGCCCCTCTCCCGGGAATTGTGCATGAAACTCAGGCATATGCCCTGACCGGGAATCAAACCATGATCTTCTACTACTGTTCATAGGTCAATGCTCAACCACTGAGTCACACCAGCTGGCTTCCATTGATTTTTAGAGAGTGTGGAAGGGAGGGAGAGAGACAAAGAGAGAACATCAGTGTGAGAATGACACATAGATTGTTGCCTCCTGCACATGCCCTGACCAAGACCAAGGATGAGCCTGCAACCTGAAGTACATGCCCTTGACCAGAATCAAACTCAGAACTTTCAGTTTGCTAGCTGACGCTCCATCCACAGAGCCAAACCAGCTATAGCTTGACTCAACCATTTTATTATGTTTTCCTTTTTTTACTGTATACATGTATGTATATAGTTACAAATTAATATTGTTTTTAAAACCATTTGAAATAAGTTGCCAACATTATGACACATAATGCCTAAATACTTCAGCATATATCTCCTAAGGATAAACTGTGAGCTTTGTGTGTTTTTTCTTTGTGTGTGTGTGTGTGTGTGTGTGTGTGTGTGTGTGTATGTTTACTTCTGATAAGGTTTTAGAAAGCCAAATATCTAAACTCTTGGCAGTAGCACAGTATAATCTGGGTTCTTCAGTGACAGATAAATTTCAACTGCCAATCCAGGCTTAGGTCAAATACTGTATGTAATAAAATTATTTCCTGACATTTATCTAATGCTCAATAATCTGTATTCTTTCCTGTCTTGATTCATTAAACTGTATGACATTTCTCAATCAAATATTATCTCCTAAATGTATGTGTAAATAAGCTGAGGCTGACAGGAAAATGAATTGCTTAAGAGCACTCAAATAGTAAGTGAAGTCAGAGTTAGACTCTAAATCTTCTGACACCACGTCTAATATTTTTTAATTTTTTTTTTAATCCTCACCCAAGGATATTTTTCCATTGATTTTTAGAGACAGCAGAAGAGAGAGGGGAACCACAGAAATAAATAGCATTTCTCTAACATCTATCGGACCAGGGCTCAGGTTATGGAGGAGCCTGCAACCAAGGTATGTGCCCTTGACCGGAATCGAACCGGGGACTCTTTGGTCTGCAGGCCAATACTCTTTCCACTGAGCCAAACAAACAGGCTAGGGCTAATGTTTTTTTCTCTTAGAGTAGGAGTTGTCAAACTCTGATTTCAGAACTCCTTTATGGTCTTAAAAATTATGGAGACCCCCTCAAGAGCTTTTCTGTACATCAGTTATATTACCCATTAACTTACTGTATTAGAAATTAAAAGTTAAACATTTTAAAATATTCATTTATTCCCTTAAAGCAGTGTTCCCCAAACTTTTGACATATGTGTACCCCTTCTATAATTTTCGTAACACTGAGTACCCCTCGTACTCATGAGAACGTAGAATTAGGCGCAGCTAAGCATGGTGCAGTGCATATCCCCACCAAACTCCGGTGCAATGCCCCCACCAAACTCTTCCCATACTCCTGGGGGTATGCATACCACACTTTGGGAAACACTGCCTTAAAATAACAAAATACAGATATTAAATGTTAACATAAATAACTTTAAAAACTGTTTTCCAAAACAAAATATTTTATTGTGGAAAGTGGTATCATTTACATTTTTTGCAAACCTCTTTTTTTTTTTTTTTTTTTTTTTAGAATGTTGGTTAGTACAGTCAGCCCTATGATATTCTCCAATAAAAGTTTCTCTCTCCAACCCTTTTTTAAGGATTGTATCAGCAGAGTCTTGCTTCATCAGACTCAGCCTTCTTATTCCTCCAGTGCAAACCTCTTTAATGTACAGTTTAATAGAAGACTGCTGGATTTTCATAAAGCTGCTTTGCATACGACCTGCTATGATATCACAGGTTATGTAGCTTCTGCAAAAGTTCACTCTACACTTATGAAAGAATAAGACGAAAAAAGGCCAATAAGACCTTAGCCTTATGAAAATAGTTTTGACCTCATAAAGCCCCTGGAAGATCTTAGAGACTTCCTGGGACACTCACCCTTTGAAGTTCTCTATATCAGAGCATGTGCTAAAGGACTGTGAAATAATAGACTCTATAGCAACATTAAAACTCCTGGAAAAGCATCCTTAGAAAAGAGGCTTCTTATCAATGTGTTGTGTAAAAGCATGGTCATTGAAGTAGGTGCTAGGTTTGTGGATTTCATAGTATCAGCAAAGGATTTAGGATCGCTACAAATCTGCAAAGCTTTTTTTTTTTTTTTTTTTTTTTTAGCTGTTTTTTAATACTAAGGAGCAGCCCTATTGTCTGATAGTTTGTGGGCAAGCAAAGCTCTGATAACATTAGAAGTGTCAATTATAAGAAATAATGGAATTCACCATCATCAAACAGGAACGCACCAGCTTTCTGCCCGGACTTTTGTCCCAATCCCATCATTTCCATTTTACTAATCTATAAAAATGGAAACAATAATTGTATCTTCCTCATACTGTTGTTATGAAGTAGTTTGACCTCAATAAGTGTTATATCACCGGGTTGGAAATGTAGAAATAGTCCTCATACTAGTGCATCCAGGCTGGGAGACATGAAATCTCTGACCTGTATCTAATGTTGGTGAGCAATGTGTTTCCCATCATCCCACAGTGCTGTGGCTTTATTATTGGGAAAACAATGTAACTCAAAGAAGTCCTGTGTTTCAACCCAGGTTCCTCCATCCTTCACAGCGAAAAGCACCAAGTGGGCTGACTGGAGGTTGGCGTTAGAAAGCTGCTGAGACTCTATTGGCTAGCCAGTGTAGGAGGGAGCCAAGGAGCAAGCGCCCCTGGAGGAGGCGGGCATACGAAAGGTATAAACCTGGAGCGGTGGACTGACTGTGTGCAGTCTCTCCCTGCCTCTCCTCCCCATGGGCTTCTCTCTTCCTTTAGGTCCTGCCCTGGGTGTCGGGGATGGCGCCTGGCCTGAGGACCGTCTGCAGATCGCTCTGCCCGGGGACCAACGGGAAGGGTTCCCATTCCAGGAAGCGGCTCCTTTCCCGCCGTTTGCATGCAGGTCCAGGTCCAAGTGTTCCCTGAAGCGGTCCGTGCTGCACGTGGATGCGTGTCTGCTGGAGAAGATGCTCGGTGAGTGCGCTGGCATCTGGACCACGCGGTTCACCCTCGGGCACCCACGGCAGACCCAGGGCGGGGCTCGAGTCCCGCCAGCCAGGACCTGGGTCACCCCCTTCCCCATCCCACCTCATCCCTCGGGAACCCCCTGATCCACGCAGGTCCCAACAGAGCGCTCTTAACGGCGTTCCAACGCGAGTTCCAAGTCCAGCTCCAGATGGGAGAGCCGGACCCCGAGGGCAAGGTTGAAGTCAGCATCGTGGGGAGACAGTGGAACCCGAAGCGCGCCAAAAAGATGATTCAGAGCTTGACTGGGAAGTCCCAAAGGAAGCGGTACGGAGGTTTAATGGGCCAGGTTGTGGGTGCTGCAGAACGGGCTGTGCTAAGGGGTCTTTAAGTCCGCCACTCCCTCCCACAGATGGGGACTTCCTCTTCAGAACACATCCTGAGACCCTAGAATGCCTAGGTTTCAAAAGTGAGCAGGGAAGCCCCGAATAGGGCACTGGACGGCAGCCAGGAATCCCAGGGAAGGAAGAGGTTTAAGGAACGCCTAGCCCAGTGGTCGGCAAACTGCGACTCGTGAGCCACATGGGTCTCTTTGGCCCCTTGAGTTTTTAGCCAAGGCCAGCTTAGGGGTACCCTAATTAAGTTAATAACAATGTACCTACCTCTATAGTTTAAGCTTAAAAAATTGGGCTCTCACCAAAACCGGCTTGGCTCAGTGGATAGAGCGTGGGCCTGCAGACTGAAAGGTCCCGGGTTCGATTCCGGTCAAGGGTATGTATCTTGGTGGTGGATACATCCCAGTGGGGGGTGTGCAAGGGGCGGCTGATGTTTCTGACTCTCTATCCCTCTCTCTTCCTCTCTGTAAAAAAAATTAAAATATATTTAAAAATTGGGCTCTCAAATTTCAATTGATGTATTGTTGATATTTGGCTCTGTTGATAATGAGTTTGCTGGCCACTGGCCTAACCCAACCCCTTCGCACTGAATCCACCTGTTCAGAGATGGGAGGACCCTTCCTGTCCCACATTTTCTGAGGTAAAACTCCAGCCACAGAGATCCTTGAAGACTCAGTGATTATCAGACTTAGAATGAGCTCTGCAAGAATGCAGATAGCCCAGCAGGATCTCCTCTCCTCCTTCTCCCCGCACAGGAGTTAAGAATACAGGCACACTACTCACTTTTTACTCACTCTCTTCCCATTGGGTGTTCTGACGTAGGTGGTCTGCTCTGGGGTGACCAGTGGGGAGTGTTTTCTGTGGAGTCACTTTCCTTCTGTGTCTGTGTGTTCTCCTGGGCAGAGTACATGCTCAAGTTCATGCTTTCCTTCCAGGCACAGTGATGCTCGTGAAGCCTAGAAACAATGAAATATCTTGAAAGAATGTTCGTTCCAGTACTTACCTTCTGCCACAGTGATGAACAGACTGAATGAAGCCATGTAATTGCCAGAAATAGGTCACAAGACTGTCTAGAAATCTGTTCCCAAAATTAGGCCATTGTGGTGATTAGGACCTTGGTGTAGGGACTTTGGTGAGTCAGGAGCCTTGGCATTTAAGGCCCAGGCTAAATTCTGCTTTTGCTCCTGTGACTGAGGGGAAACAATTGCTAATGATCTACCACACTTTTCCTGCACAGACACTTGTCTAAAGATTCAAATATTAGTCATAATACATAAATTTTATACACACACACCCACACCGATTAGTATTGGTTATCAAGAAAAATATAGCTTGTTTCAAAATGGGGAAAGGCTAATAATTATGAAAGATCAGTCTGCTTTTCATAGTGTTTTGTTCTGGGTAGGTGTGGGGAGGCTCTTTCATGTCCTGGGAGCTTTTGTGGGTAAAGAAGAACATTACTGTTTATTTCATTAATGCTGATATTGAAAGAAAATGTTTCATTGGTTATAAAACAAGCTGTATAACTCAAATTCTTAAGTGTTAAAACATTGACAAACTGATTCCATTCTCCTTAGCTTTTGATGAAAAATAATTATTATGTTTATTTTGTCTTTATTAATAGCTTAAATGGCAAAACACCCTCACTGAATATGAAATCTATTATAAGACTAATAGGGATCAGTATGTTTCTTCATTATTTCTATAATCTATGTAGAATAGGATAGCTTTCCTGGGTTAAATAATTTTATTAATTTACTTTTTCAGAGTATTATTATAAATAAAAGGATTCTATCTCAATAAACTAGAATATGCAACCTCAATTGGGCTGTCAGTTACTTCTGTTTCAGCTCCCAAGACCTATATAGGTCAAAACTGCCCCACCCTCTTTTTTTGAGTTTTAAAATACAATTTACTAAACATTTGGTGTGTGGAAGGCTCTGTTACATACACTTTACATACATTTGACTTGATCTTTATAATAATTCTATGAAATCATAATCCTATGAAAATGGATGCGATACTTATTTTACAAATGAGGAAAGGACAAAATGGAAACATAATAATGTGTGTCCTGCCTGTTACACTAGGCTAGAAACCTTCTGGAATTAGGGAAGATGGTTCAGTTTTACCCCTGATGTCCTAAGCTCATAGATAAACACTGGATTATTGATTATTAACAGTGATTGTCATATTTATCAACCAGTTAGCCTACTTAATGTAAATAATGGTATCAATGAATATAAAACAGATCTAGCCCGAGCTGGTTTGGCTCAGTGAATAGAGCATTGGCCTGTGAACTGAAAGGTACCAGGTTCAATTCCAGTTAAGGGTACATGCCCAGGTTGCAGGCTTGATCCCCAGGAGGGGGTGTGCAGAAAGCAGCTGATCAATCAATGATACTCTCATTGATGTTTCTATCTCTCTCCCTTCCTCTCTGACATCAATAAAAATATATTTTAAAAAAACAAAAACATCTCCCTCATGGCCATTTCATAAATATGAATCCCTATATATGCTGTACAGTATTAAGAAAAGTCCCTGCTTTGGTTTCATATTAATAATCAGGACAATTTACTGAAATTTTTTTCCTCCATTTCCTTCAGCAATAACATGGGAACTCAGATTCTTTTCAGCCTAAGAAATGAAGCAACAACTTGTTGCTGGGCTTTAAAAAGACTGGTAGCTGAAACTGGTTTGGCTCAATGGATAGAGCTTCGGCTTGGGGATTGAAGGGTCCCGGGTTCGATCCCAGTCAAGGGCATGTACCTTGGTTGAGGGCATATCCCCAGTAGGGGCGGTGTAGGAGGCAGCTGATCAATGACTCTCTCTCATCGATGTTTCTAACTCTCTTTCTCCCTTCCTCTCTGTAAAAAATCAATAAAATATATTTTAAAAAATAAATAAAAATAAAAAGACTGGTAGTAGGTTCATGGGGTCCGCCCAGACTGCCTGCAGGGCTGTGGCTGGGTTTAGTCACAGCACAGAGGCACAGAATGAATGGGTAAACAGGAGGCTTCAGGGGAGTTCTAGGTCATGTAACATGGGGAAACTCTGGGAGAGAAAGGTCAGGCTTCACAGTGGGCTGCAACCTGCAAGCTAAGGCCTTTGGGGGGCACCCAGACTTAAATGTAGAGGGCTTCCTTATGCAACAGTCCCCCCCGCCTCCTTATTCATGGGGGATACAGTCCAAGACTCCCAGTGAATGGAACGAATGGAACTGAACCCTATACATACTATGTTTTTCCTATACATGCATACCTTTACACTTAAAGAAAGCACTTTATGGCTTCTCTTTGGCATATCCAAATTGCCAGCATCCCTACTCTTGGGCTTTGAGATCATTATTAAGTAAAATAAGGGTTACTTGACTACAATCTGCTAACTGAGTTGGCTACTAAGTAGCTAAGGGCAAGGAGTATATATTTCCTCGAGGTGCCAGAGGGTTGACTCATGTCCTGGCCAGGACTGAGCTGAACAGCAAGAGATTTTATCACACTAATAATAGAATGCAATTTAAAACTTATGCATTGTTTCTGGAACTTTCCATTTAATATTTTCAGGCCTCTCCCAGGCAGTGTTGCTAAGTGGTTAGAGTGCCGCCCCCATGCACCAATGGGTTGTGAGTTTGATTCCTGGTGAAGGGCACATGCCTGGGTTGCAGATTTGATCCTGGGCCCTAGTCCGGGGGCATGCAGGAGGCATCCAATCAATGTGTCTCCCTCATATCAATGTTTCCCCTCTCTCTTCTCTCTCTCTCTCTCTCTCTCTCTCTCTCTCTCTCTCTCTCTCTCTCTCTATTTTTTCTACCTCCCTCCCTTCTAGTCTCTCAAAAAATTAATGGGAAGAATATCCTCAGGTAAAGATTAACAAAAAAGTATATATTCAGGCCAATGGTTGACAGTGAGCAGTTTAAACAACGAATAATGAGCAGACTACTGTAACGTCATTCACCATGGCCATGATCAGTAGACTCTTAGGAATTCTAATCTGAGATCATCTCGATCCAGGCTGGCTCTCAGATGCTTTGGGGCCTAGGGTCTCAGAAACTGTCCCCAAACTGCAGGTGGTGTTTTTTCTATTCTGTCATCATCTTTATTGATGGACCACGGGGTTCTGCCCCCAATGGCACAAGAAAACGCAGTTATTTCATTTCCATCTACAACTGCAAGCCCATCTCCCTCAAACTCACTTCAAACCCCCATCCATCTCCCCAGCCCCCCTTCACCACCTTGGCCTTGATCCTGAGAATATCCTGGGGTTTGGGGGAGGAATCAGCTTCCTGCTAGAGCTGCCTGGGCTCCCATTTTATAGTTGTTATTTACTTGTTAAAGTATTGGGACTTTAGGCTCGTTTCTCTCCTTAATGACGTAAGCTTTGCTTAATAAGTGGTTATGATCATACTATGGATTAACCTGCTCTATTAGCATAATTGAAAACTTGTCTTATTTGCATTTTATTTAAATTAGAATAGTCAACTGAAGATTCCTCTCCCAGAAAATGAAGGATCCAATTTGCATAGTAGCTGTTTTCTTAGGACACGTGTCCAATCCATTATTATTGTGAGGCACCGTGGGTCCCTCTTTCCATCTTGTTTGTGTATATCGTTGTTTCTTATCCTTGGTTATAATTCCTACTTCTTCTACATTCTTTTGGCCTAGTCATAGTTCACTAAGTCCAACCTTCTCTACTTATATAGAGGAAATGTGCCTGTTTATATTTTATACTCATATCTGTACTTAATAGAATAATGCCCAGATGTTTACCCTCCTACCAATTATTAAAAGTTAAACATATCTGTTTCTTTTTATAAATTACAATCTTTATATGTGTGCATTAAAAAAAATTTTAAATAGAAATAATATTTTTTTAAATGTGTACATTAACTTATCACTTAGGTCATGATTAAGAACGGGAGAGAGTAGGGGTGAATAATGTCCCTTCCAGGTACTTTGGCTGATCTGATAATTAAAGGGACATAGGACAGTGTTGGAGA